TCTATTTTTCTTACATGCACTAAGTGTAACATCGTTGATCTCTTTCCGGCACGAAGAGCCCGCTCCACATGGAAAGAGGAGACAAAAAATAAACAAAATTCAAACCACGCAAGTATGCAGAACACGACGACGAAAAAGCTCATCTATCAGTCAGTAATTAGTGGAATCTTTTCGTTTCCACTTGTTCTTAATTTCTGTACATTCTGAAAAACTATAAAGTTCCAAAAGTTTCTTGGTTCCCACTTCTATTTTTAGTATTTCTTTACTGAAAAATAAAGAAATGTTTAAGCGACTGTCATTTTGTAGCTACACTACAGTCAGTGGCTGACATTCAGTCGCTTTTAAGTTAATTTTGTGGGTGTCACTAGATGTCAGCCACTTGATTGACTGATCAAAGCGCCTATAGTGGCTGACAACTGGCTGACTGGCAGCCACTTGAATGGAGTAAAAATTTACAGTGTGTGCGCTATAAATAGTATCTGCTCTTAGCAACTCATTCATGCTTTCAGTCAAAAAGAATAAAACGTATTAAAATAAGCTTTGCTTCATAATGAGTTGTTGAAGAGATCAAGTTCGTCCGAGGACACATCAGTTACTTGACGTACAGAAACATCGAGTTCTTGACAAAAAAGCAGGAACTTGTTGTAAAGAAACATAAATTACTCATCAATTACTTCAGTGAAAACATTTTTCGATGGAAGATAAAGGTTTTGGGTTGTATTTTCGCTGAGTTTAAGATCCATTCGAATCGCTCAATCAAAGGAGAAAGAGGTAGAAAGTTAATTCTAGAACTATTCTTTGCAGCTTTTAGCAGTAGAGTATGAATAACAGAAAACGGTGAAAGTGAAGTTATATTTGTGTAGTAGAGGAAGAGTTTACCGAGAATGAAGACGTGAGAGAAAGGTCATTCTTTTGTCGACAGAAATGAACAGACAGAGTAATATCGCAAGTCGATGTTCGAGAGCGACATTTTTTTCTTTGAAGTATTTGAAATTAGCCTTGAGCATAAATAGATTTTCAGTGCAAAGTAGCTTCTGAAAGTTATCTCCGCACTGCGTTCGTAAAGTCTTGCGAAATGTGATCTGTCGTTCGGATTCGCTATGTCCACTTAATGATAGTGTAATCCGTATAGTACAGGAAAAACAGTGAAATTAAATACTTTGACATAAAAGAAATAAAATGTACTAAAATAAACTTTGCTTCATAATGAGTTTATACGGGATCGAAACGATTAGTAACACTTATGTAAATAAATCTTCGGAATTTAATGTCATATTCTTCTGCCGGAAATCATTAAAACGCCATTTGCGACAAATGTTTTAATAGATTTTTGATTCAATTTATCACAATGTACTGCATAAATGTGAGAGTTATGACTAGATTTTTCAGTGGTAGGTGTAAAAGCATGACAGCAAGAAATTTCGTATAAATTGATAGACTCCGCTCTATACGTCAGCCACAATCAGTCACTCAGATTGTTCACTACTCATACATAGCCACACACATTTATAAAACGAGAAAACATGAACCAAGTTCTGTTATGGTTAGTTGTACTCGTTGGCTTCGTCGCCATTGTTCTAGAAGCCGTTGCTGTACGGAAACGTGTTCTGAAAGGCTTCACGGTCTCCGGAAATACGCCACCCGCAAGTCAAGGTCCAAGTCCAGACCGTATTTCGGACAATGTCTTGACTCTAACGCGACAATCGAGACTTAGCAGACCAAATTATCTTAAATCGATGCGGCAAAATAACCGAGTCAACGGTCATATGTTCGCAATTGTTCCCCTCATCGAAGAGGAAATTAGTGCAGAATTTGTTGCGGAAATTACCTTCGGTAAACAAACTTTCCTCGCCGTTGTCGACACCGGTAGCTCAGATACTTGGCTTGCAGAAACTGGCTTTGCATGCGAAAGTGATGTGACTGGGGACGCAGAACCCCAGAGTGCTTGTCTGTTTGGACCCACCTATAACCCAAACATGTCGTGTACTTTTACAAAATTACCAGATCTTCATTTCTATATTGAGTACGGCGATGGAGAATATCTTTTCGGATTCATGGGTACTGAAAAGGTTACCTTCGGTGGCATTTCAGTCAAAAATCAGGAAGTCGGAGTCGTCAATATTGCTGCCTGGGATGGAGATGGCGTAACTTCAGGACTCGTTGGATTAGCATTTTCGGCACTTACCTCCGCATATGCAGGAGCGAACGAAACAGAGAACACCACGTTCCCAGTGGTTTACAAGCCGATCTTTACAAACATGTATGAAAGAAACCTTCTTGCACCCTTATTTTCGTTTGCCCTTGTTCGCGGAAATCAGTCATTTGGTGGCCTACTAGCCTTAGGGGGGATCCCAGATGTACCGCATTCGCCTATTTTTGCGTCGACGCCAATACAAATACTTTATATCAACGGTATGGCTTTTGATGGAGATGAAACAACGCCAGTGTATACCTTCTACACAGTTGATCTGGGTGGATTTGTTTACGAAGGAAGCAACCTTACAAAATATAATTCTTCAAGTTTCCTGACCAGCATGTTTTCGTCATCGGCCGGTACTCTTCAAGCAATCGTTGATACTGGAACTACTCTGCTCTACGTCCCATCAGCCATTGCAAATGCTTCGAACGCACTTTTCAGCCCTCCAGCAGTATACAACTCTACAGCCGGGGCATTCACAGTGCCTTGCGATGCTATAGCTCCGAAGTTTGGAGTATCTATTGGCAGGGAAACGTTTTACATTAACGCAAAGGATTTGATTTTCGACAATGGAGATACGACTTGCGTCTCTGGAATTGTTGATGGCGGTGAAGGTCCATATATCTTGGGCGACGTTTTCTTGAAGAATGTGCTTGCTGTTTTCGATCTTGGGGCAATGGAAATGAGATTTGCTGCAAGAGAATGCTACTAGATTTTAACGTTAAATCCACAGAGTTGAATAATTTCTGTCGCACATCAAACCCTCTTCTATCACTTATGGTTACATTTATTGTCGTTAAAAATGCGGGAACTGCAAAGAGGACAAAGGAATTCTTTGCGTGCTGTTGTTTATAGTTGTGACATCTTAATAATACTTTTACTAGCATAGTAAATAAATTCTTATCCTAAACGGGTATAGAGCAGAGTGGAGATACGTTGAAACACACTCATCCGTGGTAATAATTTAAATCCAGAAATATAAAAGGCTTAGTTTGCCAAATCAAAGTTTGGTCTGGTATTTGTTCAGATTAATAGCCATGCTTGCACTGGTAATGACAACACAGAAAAGAGAACACGGTGACGTCTCTTTCTACTAACAGGACTTATTCAAATTTTCGCTCATAACTCAGCCATTTCTCAACCAAATTGAAAAATCAGTTTACTATTGGAGTTGAAAGACATTCCTCTACTCAGATATACGCCAAAAATATAGATATACTGCTTTTGGACAACAGTCTCACTTGAAAAATATTAATTACAGTATGCTTGTAAATAGAAGTACAATAATAAGCAGATGAAGTCTTCAGAAGCAAAAATGAAGCACACACAAAATTTTGTTCAGAAAAAAGGTCTGACGAGTGAAGCCCTACAATCATTAAGAATTTGTACATGTTGTTTGTATTTTTAGCTGGCGAAGCAAGTGGTACGTCTCTTTTGGAGAATGGATCCATGATTGGTTAAAGTGATCAAGTTATTTGCTATATCAGTGATGAAAATTCAAACTTCACAAATTTTTCTAATGAATATTGATGTCGATTTTTTCTGATTGTTGAAACAATGAAGAAGCAAAAATGATGTAGGAGTTAGAAGACCATGGTCTTTTATTTGGCTTTCACGTCATATAATCGGCAGTATCTTCTAATAGGGGATGGTCTTCTATTATGAGGGGGTTAATGGATCAGAGTAAAATGATTCGAATTCCATTTTCACGTAAATCTAGCTAAAGACAGAACAATGTTTTGTTTAGAGGTTTTAACTATTTGTGCTGAGTTTAATTTGGAAAAGACTTAGAATTTTGGGGTTTATGAGAATGACTTTCGAATTAATTCCACTTTTATATAGATTCAAAACGTTTCTTAAACTGACCATCTGGTTTCAAAGCCGCATGTTCGATAATGTTTGTGAATTGGTGATGAATTACACACGTCCATTTAAACATAAATTCGAAAAGTGTTCGGGGTCCTTCAAAAAAAACGTCATAATTTCCCAGTCGAAAGACATCGAAAGCTCAAAATTTGGATTTACACGTTATTCAATATGGGGAATCGAATGGGAGCACTTTTAGAGAAAAAAGATTCCAGCTTGTTATGATCCTTTGAGCAGGTTAGCTACAAGAATATGTACGAATAATTGATTCGACCGATCGGGTTCATTGTGAAATCTTCAGCATAAGCTCAACAGTACTTTAATGATCTGTATTTTTGTTCTTCTTTTGCTTTTTTCGCCACCATGAAAACTTTAATTACAAACCATTTCTAGTGTAGTGAATAGCCGTGAAAAGAGCTACAAGAATATGTATAAATAATTGGGTTAAAAGTTTGGGATCATGGTGAAATTGCGACAATAAGTTCAACATAACTCATAATCAGTATTATTTTGGGAACGCAAATTTTTATCATCAAGAATCGTTTTCAAAGTAAAATAAGGTGGTATTCGTAATTAGCGCTAAAAACTGAGTCGAATGATGTACTATTCATGATTTTAGCAAAACTTGATAAACTTGTCCGAGATCATCTCGTCTCTTATACGCGGGGATCTAGTCCATTGATAACCGTTAAGCCCTGTTGTGTCTTAGTTATTATTCATCGTTTTATTTATGCTGACATATATGTTGATAGTAACGTATCAACATACTTGTTGAATTACAGTGCAAGACCAGCCAGACTAGTGCTTCTATCAGTTTATGGATTTGTCAAAACTATCATTACTCAGGACGTTGATTCCGGCGTCAGGATCCTGACGGAACCTGCCGCATCCAACATCGGGAAGCTGTCAGAATTCGGTAAAATCCGGCAGCAACCGTGCCGGAAGATGTCGGAAAAGATCCGACGTCTTCCAGTATCTTCTGACCGCTGAATCTGATTTTGCTGGATGTGGCAAAATGTGACCAGCTTTGAAGTTAAAAATAGTCTTAAATTTTTTCTTTCATTTTCTAGTGGTTCTTCTCTCTGTTTATTCGATAGAGTGGAAGGCCCACTAGCTAGGACGTGTACAACACGTCCGTTGAACCATGTGAGCGATGACTCACACAGTTAAGATCTTGAGAAGAGCAACTTCTGATTTTCTGTAGTGTCGTATTTAAAGTGCTCCTTTCGTGAAACAAAACGGTAAATATATTATGTACACAAGAAAGAAAGAAAAATAAAGTGCACATCACAGGATCCGTCGATTTCCGCTCACCGGAAATTAACTGATCCGATATCCGGATTCTCCAGGTACCAAGCATCGGAACGCGAAGGAATTGAGCAGATTCCTATCTACGGATCCGGTCGGGAGTCCGATCTCCGGAAATTACCGGAATTAAAAGGAACGATAGCGCGAATTCGACCTGGGTACCTGCTCAGGGCATATATGATCGTCGGACACCAAAGGCAAATTAGTGGACGGTTAAGAAAATATTTTAAATTCCTAGAAGGACTGGATTAGTTCAATAGTCCAAAAATAGCACTCTAACCAACACGTACGTGATGTCGATATTTATCACAGACTGGTCCTTTCATCTGTCGTAGAAGAGGACAGTATTTGCAGTATTAAGTCGTACTGTCAATATCTGTAAAAATATCCCACTATAGAAATGGCCATCCAAAATGGGAGATCTTAAACACCAAAATAATCTTGTATCTTGCAAGAGATTCCAAAGCGATCTCTTCCACTCGTCTTCGGTCATCCTATATGGATAATTCAAATACTATGATCATGGGTGAATGTAGACTTGATTTAAAGAGGATAAAATGGTCTATAATTAGCCCAAGTCGATGTTCTTGTTGCATTCAGTTCAGTTCAGTTTATTTAGGAACATACACAAGCATAAGGCAAACCATAAGCTTTAACAGAACTTATCAAAAAGTTCTGCCAGCATGCCCGAGAAATTTTGACAAGTCTATATGATATAAAAGAACAGTTAAATCTGAAGAAGAAATCAAGTTTCTCGAATTTTTCTGTGTTTCCTTTATATTTTCGTGAGTGCAAAATACAATGGTGAATAGACAAAAACGATTACCGTGCGGTATTTCCTTAGACCGCGATCTAATAAGTTACCATGGGTTAACCACGCGGTATACCGACGGTATTTTAAAAAAAGTTCGACCTTGGTATAGAGTTAAATGTGATAAGTCGACTCAAACTTTTCAGGTTCTTGAAATCAACTATAATAGATTCTACATAACCAGTTTTCTACTCGTGTACCCTTTGTGCCCGTATTTCTAGACTGTCTTATTTTATATAACGACACTTTTCTACGTGATAAATTTTCGTTTATGCCACATCGTACAGTTGCTCCCTCTAGTGAGTCTAATTTTTAGTAATAATTACATATTGAATAGTAACGTGTGACTTTGTGCTAGATCCCTTGCATGTAACCGCAGGAGTATTATTTATATTGTTTCTTGCTTATCATTGGCGTATTCATGAAAGACCGTTGACCATTTTTCTACTTTCTGTGGACGGACAGTCTGGGAGACAGACCCGAGTGCCCAAATCTCCTGATTTGATCAGCAGATTCCTGATTTGCAATTGTTTTCCTGCATAGATTTTGTTTTTTTCAAAACAGATTATCAGTTTCAGAAACAGAATTTCTCGGTCAAGAGTCTATATAATTGTACATTGAAAGAGTCCGCTGTGTGCTTATCGAATGTTTTCATCACAAGAAGATGAGATTAGTGAACTTCCAAATTCATCGGATCAAAAACTTCTTCTTTAATCCGTACTGCAGTCTGTAACAAATGATAATACTGTTCTATGAAAAAATATTTCAAAAAACACTATGTTTTTGAAAAAGTGATTAGATTTTTTTATTTTACTTGTCGAAGAAAAAACTGTCTAATACTCTCCTGTTTTTCTTCTGATTTCGAAAACAAATCTCCTGATTTTCCTCCTGGTTTTTAGAAAAAATCTTCTGACCAACTCCTGATTTTTAACGAAAAGCTCCTGATGTCCAAAAAGTGAATTTGGGCACCCTGAAAGAGACAATCTTGTAGGCCTAATCCTTTCCATGCTTCATTTTACTCGTGCCATATGCGAACAAAGTTTTTCTTATTCAAAGGAGATACTGTTGATTGTAGAAACAACACTAGATTTTTCTGTAACTAGTCTAAAAAATCATTTGGTTTCCAGTATTTGCAGTTTGTCGACATTCTCGGAATAGAATAAAACCAGTTTTAGAAGTCCTGAAAAGGTAGAGGATAAGATTTTTAATATTTCATTTTACCTATACAGTTAACATTTTTTTGATATTAACCAGTTATAAGGCTCGGTTCGCAGATCGTCGTTATTCAGTTTTGCATGGTTTATCGTTGCTGTGACAATAAGTTCAGTCTTATTTGAAGCACAGAATGGTACATGCAAAGTTATATAGGATCATGATAAGATGAGAAGACTTTATCCGATAAATCTGACACTTTCTTATGTGCGTTTTCGTGTATTTCACACAATTTCTTTTAGATTCGATGCATTCCAAGGATTTTTTATGTCAACCCTGGGCACGTTTTTCTGTCCAGTTAAATATATTGAACTAATGCCCAGTGCTCTATTGTTTTACTATTACTATCATTAGTAAGAACAACGCGTAGTACTGGAATATGAGATTCACTATTTGTATTTACAGATTTTTTATTTGATATCACAAACTATGAATGAATCTACTGTGCATATATATTCCAAAAAACATGATGTTAAAGAAGATAATAATGGCGTAGCTAGTACAGAATCATGCTCCACGAAAGCTACAGATGAAAGGCAACGGAAAGAAAAAAGTAAATACATGATTTATTATTTACTTATTTGAGAGATAGAGAATAAACAAGATGAATAGTTTGATAGCTTCGTTCCACACTAAACACTATTTATTTAATACTTCGATGTCTACCAAAAATCGAGCTTTTCGACTCAGTATACTACCTGCTTATGAGTTTGCTATCCCGTTTTAACAATACTTTTTGTATAAAATGAGTTTTCTTTATCTTTCATGAATCGTTTTTTTCTTTCGTTTTTACAGAAATTTAGTTCTGTCATTTCTAATTTTTTCAATTAATCGGAAGAAATAACAATAAGATCGCTTCCTGTGTCACTAAATTTCGTATGAATGACTTTCCATCTCATATTTTTGGATTACCTCTTCTCATATTCTATAGCTCGATGACTAGTGAAAATAAAGGAAGCGAAGTTCTGATTGTGTGAAGGTTTAAAAGTTAGTTCTGAAGTCAAATCGTTTTTGTTTCCATTAAAGAGTACCGTACTCACAGCTCACATTGACCATACGACGGTGGTTAATTTAGTATTGAGTTATACTGCTATGTCAGATTAACTAAATCTTAGATTTAACACAGTTTTTAAGCTAAGTGAAACAGCAAAAAGAATCTTTTACCCTTACTTTACTCTGAAAAATAATCGATTTCCGTTACCGTTACTGGTAATAGGTATCGGATTTTCGTTACCCGTTACTAGAACGGAAAAGTGTTACTTTTCAGAGTAAAGTAACAGGAACATACCACCCCTTTATACTGTCACTAGTCTATCGTGCAAAAGTTTCAGCTCTCTGTTACTCTTTTGGACAAAGATATGATTTTTGCTAGTTTTCGCTAGGAAGACTAGAACAATGCCTATAACTTTCGAAGGAAAAGCCATAGGCCCAAATCCTTGTAGACTTTTTACAACCTCAATATACTCTATCGATCGAGATATAAATAATGGAGAACGGAGTCAGACATGTTCATATGTTTCCTCATCAGATAAAAACTTGTCTCTTTTAAAGGTCCAACAAAATCAAAATTAATGTCATTAGCTAATGAATTATTTGATTTTTTCTTAATTTATTTGTCACCTTGTGATATTGTTCAATCGTTAAGTGGCATTAATAAACGATTAAATTTACTTATCTATCACTTTATACATAGAATTGATGTATCAACAAAGAAAAAACAATGGTTAAATAAACATTTATTATCAATTCAACCTTTAGTAACAAGAATAAAATTTGATCATTCAGAATTACAAACATTGTTTCCAACAACAACAATAATTCATAATCAATATCATTGTCTTAAATCAATAATATGGAATTATCAATTTGGTCATGATGATCGTCTATCTATATCCTATTTAAATATATTTAAAATAAAATTATTATCATTAAATTTAAATTTAAATTCAGATAATGATGAAATTGTTGATAATAATATTGCATTATTATTATTACAAAATGATTCATTAATTGAAAATTTAATATTTAAAGATAATAATAGTTATAATTTATTATGGTTTTCATTTAAATAAAATATATTAAAATTAAATGAACATTTAAAAATATTTAACAATAAAATTACATTATGTACATGATTTGCAAAGGAGAAAGAGGTAGAAAGTTAATTCTAGAACTATTCTTTGCAGCTTTTAGCAGTAGAGTATGAATAACAGAAAACGGTGAAAGTGAAGTTATATTTGTGTAGTAGAGGA